TATTAAAGTTTTAAAGTTTTGGGTTAATTTAGTTTAGTTGGTATTTGGAAATAATAGAAAAAAAAGGGGGAAAAAGTAAAAATTTAAAAAAGGAAGTAAAAAAAGGGAAATGGGTATTAGAAGAAAATCAGAAGTACTAGAAGAATTTAAAGAAATAGGTAAAAAATTTAATTAAAAAAAAAAGGTAAAAAAGGTAAAAGAAAAAAGAAAAAAGGGTTCAATAAAAGAATAAAATATTAGAAAAAAAGGGAGTAATAAAATTAGAAAGTAAAAGCGTATTAAGTTTTTTAAAAATAGAAATAAAGGGTTTTTGAAGTAAGACAGAAAATTAAAAATTAATCAGAGAAATTAAAAGTAAAAAGTAATCCAGAAAATGAAAAATAAGTATAAAAATTAGCTTTTGAATAATAAAGAATTAAAGTATTTGGAAATCAAAATAAAAATTAGAATTTAAAAGGTAAATTTAAAGTAATTTAGAAAAAAAAAGGAAAACCCAAAAAAAGTAATTAGAGTAAAAAAAAAGGAATTGGGTTTAATTAAAAAAAATTTAAAGCTTATTGAAGTATCAAAAAATTTAAAAGAATAGAAGAAAATAAAGAATTAGAATTAATTCGGAAAATTGGGAAAATTAAAATTAATAACTTAAAAAAGTAAAAAAAGGGGCCCAAAAATAAAAAGGTTGGGAAAAAATTTAATGATTAATGGGGGATTTAAAAGGGGGTTTATTTTTGGGGGAAAAAAGGTTTTTTAACGTATTTTGGTTTGGGGTTTTGGAAAAGGGGGTTTTTAATAGTTTATTTTTGGTGTTGGTTGGTTTTTTGGGTTTTTTTTTTTTGGGGTTTTGGGGGGGTTTTTGGTTTGGGGGGCCTGTTTGTTGTGTGTGTGTGGGGGGTTGTGTGTGTTTTGGGGGTTGTTTGTGTGTGTGTAGTGTAGTTGTTTTGTGTGTAGTGTGTGTGTAGTGTAGTATTAGTTTTTGTGGTAGTGAGTATGAGTGTGTGGTAGTGTGGTGGGGGGGGTGGTGTAGTTGTAGTGAGTAATTTGTGTAGTTAAGGGTGGGGTTGTATGTTTGTGTGGGGGGGGGTTTTTTGGGTGTAATTTTTTGGTGTGTAGTGTGTGTGTGTGTAGTGGTTTGTAGTGTTGTAGGTGTAGTTGTTGGGGTTATTAGTGTGGGGTTGGTAGTGTATTGGGGTTTTGGGGGGGGTTTAGTTATTGTAGTAGGTATTTTGTTAGTTTTTTTTGGTTTTGGGAGTAGTTTTTAAAAAAAAAAATTTAGTGTTGTATTTTAATTTAATGTAGTGTAGGGGTATGTAGTGGGATGTGATGATATGTAGTGTATTGGTAGTGTAGGGGTATGTAGGGGAAATGTAGTATGTATTTGGTAGTGTAGGTAAAAGGTGGGTGTAGGAGTGTGTATGTAGTTTGTATTTTTGGGGGTATTTTATTTGGTTTTTTAGTAGTGTAGTGTTGTTTGTAGGTTTTTGGGAGTGTAGGTTTTTTAAAGGGGTTAGGGGGTTTGTATGTGTAGGGGGTTTGTAGTTTTAAGTTTGTGAAATTTGGTAGTGTGTTTGTAGTGTTATTGGGGTTTTGGGGGGGGTATTTTTTATGTAGTAGTTTTTTGGATTTAAGTTTTTTTTGGGTTTGGGGGGGTTTTGTTTGGGTTTGGTGTGGGTTTTTTGGTTGGTAGTTTGGTGTGTGGTTTTTTGATGTGTGTTGTGGTATTTAGGGGGTTTGTTATTTTGGTAGTTTTTGTTTTGAGTAGTGAGGGTTTGTGTGTTTGTAGGTGTTGTGTGTGGGTGTGTTTTTTTAGTTTTTTTTTTATTTGGTTTTTGATTTTTTGTAGTTTTTTTTGGTTTGTTTAGGTTGTGTTGGGGTTTGGTTGTGTTTGTGTTTTTTTTGGTGGTGTAGGTTTTGTTTTGTGTTTGTGTTGTGTGTGTTTTTTGGTTGTGTTTTTTGTGTTTTATGTTTGGTTTTGTCTTGTTTTTTGTTGTTTGTTTGGTTTTTTTTTGTTTTTGGGGTGTTTTTGTTTTTTTTTTTATTGTTGTTTTTTTTTTGTTTTTTTTTTTGTTTTTTTTTTTTTTTTCGTTTTTTTTTTTTTTTTTTTTTTGGTTTGGGGTTTTTGTTTTGGGTGTTTTTTTTTTTTTTTTTTTTTTTTTTTTGTGTTTTTGTTGTGTCGTGTGTTTGTGTGTTTTGTTTTTTTTTGGTGTTTTGTGTGGTGTGTGTGTTTTGGTGTTTTTTTTCCGGTTTTTTGGGTTTTTTATTTTGGTGTGTTTGGTGTAGTTGTTTTTTTTTGGTTGTGTTGGTATTTGTGTGTTGTTTTGTGTGTTAATTTGGGTAGAAAGTGGGGTTTTTTTTGGGTAGAAAAATTTTTTGGGTATGTAGGGGTTAGTTTTAAAATTTAAAAAAAATGGTGTAAAATTTGGTTTGTTAGGTATTAGAATTTTAGATTTAGGGGATTTTTGGTGTAGGGAAAGGTTTAAAATTTTTGGGTTATGAGAAAATTTTTAGGTATTTTTGGGGTGTGTAGTGTGAAGTATGTAGTGTATTTGGTAGTAGGTAGTTTTTTAGGTATAGTGTGTTTTAAAATGGGTAGTTAGGGTTGTAGTGTTGTATAGTGTTTGTGGTGTGTTTTGGTTTTTGGTTAGAAAGTGTGTGGTTATTTGTAGTGTATGTAGTTGTAGGGGTTTGGGGGAAAGGGGTTGTGGTATTTGGGAAAATGTGTGTATGTATATTGGTGTTAGGTAGGTGTTTTGGTTTTGTATTTGTGTGTAGGTAGTAAGTGGTTTTTAAATAGTGTTTTTAGTGAAAGGGTTGTATTGTAGGGTAGGTATTTTGTGGGTTTATGTTAATATTTGGTTTTTGGGGTTTTTAGTTGTGTGTAGGGGGGTTTGTAGTGTTGTATATTGTGGGGTTTTGTATGTATTTTTATTATTTGGTTTTAGTTTTTTTTTTGATGTTAGTTTTTTTGTGTTTTTTTTTTTTTTTGTTTTTGGGGGTTTGTTTTTTCTTTTTTTTTTTTTTTTGGGGGTTTTTTTTTTTTGTTTTTGTTTTGTTTTTTTTTTTTTTTTTTTTTTTTTTTTTTTTTTTGTTTTTTTTTTTTTTTTTTTTTGTTTTTGGTTTTTTTTTTTTTTTGTTTTTTTTTTTTTTGTGTTTTTTTTTTTTTGGTTTTGTTTTTTCTTGTCTTTTTTGGGGGGTTTTTTGGGGGGTTTTGTTTTTTTTTTTTTTTTTTTCCCTTTTTGGTTTTTTTTTTTTCTTTTTCTTTTTTTTTTCGGTTTTTTTTGTTTTTCTTTTTTTTTTTCTTTGTTTTTTTTTTTTTTTTTTTCTTTTTTTCTTTCTTTTTTTTTTGTTTTTTTTTGTCTTTTTTTTTTTTTTTTCCTTTTTTTTTTCTTTGTTTTTTGTTTTTTTATTTGTTTTTTGGGTTTTCTTTTTTTTTTTTTTTTTTTTTTTTTTTATTTTTTTTGGTTTTTTTTGGGTTTTTTTTTTTTTTTGTTTTGTTTTTGCTTTTTTTTTTTTTTCTTTTTTTTTTTGTTGTTTTTTTTTTTTTTGTGTTTTTTATTTTTTTGATTTCTTTTTTTTTTTTTTTTTTTTTATTTTTTTTTTTGTGTTTTTTAATTTTTTTTTTTTTTTTTTTTTTTTTGGGGGGGGGGTTTTTTTTTGTCTTTTTTTTGTTTTTTTTTTTGTTTTTTTGTTTTGTGTGTGTTTTTCCCTCCCCTTTTTGGTTTTTTCCCCTTTTGGTTACCGGTTTCCAAAGGCCAAATTTTTTTAAGGAGCATTTTTTCTTTGGGAAAAAAAATTTGGGAAAGGAAAACCGGGGAAATAAACCCCCTCCTCCAGCTCTGATTTCCCTTTTGGGATGTGTGGTCGTTACTGACAAGAGCGCTGGGGAGCTCTTTAATCCCACTTCATTAAAATTGGTCTGCTTTGGAGGCCAGTTGGACGTACTCCAAAATTTTTTTTTAAAAGACGTTGGAGCGGTTGGTAGGAAAATTTAAATTGTTCTTGGAAACGCTCTGGTGGACATTCTGCATCAGCATGCCAATTGCACCCCCTCAAAACTTGAACATATGTGGGTTGTGTTTTGTGACAAAACTGTATTTTTAGAGTGGCCTTTTTTTTGTTTTGGATTTTAAAAATGCTGTTTAATCAGCTTCTTTTATGCCAACCGTGGTGGATATTTCTTTAAAGAAAAATTTCAAAGGGTTAAAATTTGGAAAAAATTTTAGAAAAAGCTTGGAAGTATGGAAAAATTTTTGGGATTTTATTTCACCTTAAAAGAAAATGGGGCCCCAAATTTTAAATTTTTTTTTTTTTAATTTTGTGTTTTTGTGTTGTAGTGTTGTGTAGTATGTATAGGAGTGTATAGTGATTGTAGTGTAGTGTGATGTAGGTGTGTGTTTGTAGTGTGGTAGTGGGGAGTGGTTTTATTGGGGAGTTTTTTATATTTTAATTTTTATTTTTATGTATGGGAGTTTAGTGTATGGTAGGGATTTAGTGTTTTTGTGTTTTTATTTTTTTTTTAATTTTATTTTTTATTTGTGTATGTCTTTTTTGTTTGTATTTTATGTTTTATTATTTGTTTTTTTATTAATTTTTTTGTTTTTGTTTTGTTGGGTTTGGTCGTGTGTTTGTAGTATGTAGTAGTGTAGTGTAGTGTAGTAGTGTAGTGTAGTAGTGTATAGTGTGTGTAGTGTGTAGTGTAGTAGTGTAGTGTAGTACTGTAGTAGTGTAGTGTAGTGTAGTAGTGTAGTGTAGTAGTGTAGTGTAGTACTGTAGTGTAGTGTAGTAGTGTAGTGTAGTACTGTAGTGGTGTAGTGTAGTAGTGTACTGTACTGTAGTTAGTGTAGTAGTATAGTGTAGTGTAGTAGTGTAGTGTAGTAGTGTAGTAGTGTAGTGTAGTAGTGTAGTAGTGTAGTGTAGTAGTGTAGTAGTGTAGTAGTGTAGTGTAGTAGTGTAGTGTAGTAGTGTAGTGTAGTAGTGTAGTAGTGTATAGTATAACCACTAACCTCTTTCTGGTGGTATTTAATAGCCAGTTTGAGTCTAGCTAGGTCGTTGTTAGCCTCCTCCTCCAGTAGGTTGAGGTCGTCTCTGTAGTTCAGGATCATCTCCAGCTCTCTGGAGCTCCTGGTCTGATCCAGAAGGTCTTTAGCAAACTGCTTACACTGTTGGGATAACTCCTCATACTCCGACTTAAACTCATTCTCCACCTGGAATAAAGGGAGAGCAGAGTATATTCATTAATTAATTCAATGAAAAACCCTGGGCCCTAAAGATCATCATAAGTTTAGCATGGAGGCAAGGGATATTCATTTACAAAATCAACCAACCAGCCGGCCAGCCAATTGGCCAATCAGCCAGCCAGCCAACCAATCAGCCAGCCAGCCAGCCAATCAGCCAGCCAGCTAATAAGCCAACCAACCAACCAATCAGCCAGCTAATCAGCCAATCAACCAAGCAACCAGCCAGCCAGCCAATCAGCCAGTCAGCTAATAAGCCAACCAACCAGCCAACTAACCAATCAGCCAATCAGCCAGCTAATCAGCCAATCAACCAATCAGCCAATCAACCAATCAGCCAATCAACCAATCAGCCAACCAACTAATCAATCAGCCAATCAACCAATCAGCCAATCAACCAATCAGTCATTCGCCCCCTTGATCAAGCCTCACCTTACTGAGTTCCTCTAGTTCCCAGCTCAGTCTGAATGCTGTGAGGAAGGGGTCTTCACTGGAAAGGGCGATGAGGGAGGGGCTGGACAGGGCTCGGTAGATGTTGAGACGGGATCGGGAGTGGCGAAGGCTGTCCACATCCGAGCTGGACACACACTCCACACAGTTACAACGCACCTGGAGACATGATTACAAGTTGGACATCTGGATCAAAAAGTTCAGAACAGAAAAGCAGCAGGACTCCTTTATCTGCTTCCATAATGTCAACACCTTTATATCAAACCCACCTCAAGTGGACACCCCTTTCTGCACCACACACACAAAAAAAATGCTATATTAAAAACAACTCAATTTGGGTAAATATTGGACATAATAACCCATTGCCAGTGCCCAGGTTGGGTCGTTGATGCTGAGTTATTGAACTACGATCAGAGATGGGCAGTATATTTTGTCACATGTATTTGAAATACGTATTTTAATTACTTCTGAGTATTTTGTATGTTGTACTACACTGGGCTGAACTACACTCCAATGTATTTTGTAAAAAAAATACTTTCGAAAGCTGCAAATTGTATTTTCAAAATACAAAATACTTTCCTATACTGTATAATATAATATAGCACTATACTACTTAATAATATACTATACCACTATACTACTTCATAATTTCCATACCATTATACTACTGTATCATGTACTATACCACTATATAATATACTATACCATTATACTACTGCATAATATACTATACCACTATATAATATACCATTATACTACTGCATAATATAATATACCACTATACTACTGCATAATATACTATACCAATATACTAATGTATCATATACTATACCACTATATAATATACTATACCACTATACCACTATATAATATACTATACCCCTATACTACTGTATTATATACTATACCACTATACTACTGTATTATATAATATACCACTATACTACTGCATAATATTGTCACGCCCTGGCTCTGGGGACACTGTTATGTTGAGCCAGGGTGTGTAGATCTATGTTCTCTATTTCTATGTTGGCCTGAGTGACTCCCAATCAGAGGCAACGAGTGTCAGCTGTTTGCTGGTTGTCTCTGATTGGGAGCCATATTTAAACTGTCGGTTTTTCCTTTGTTTTTTGTGGGTTATTGTTTCAAGTTGGTTGTGTTTGACCGTGTACTGTCACGTTACCGTCTTTGTTGTTTTGATCACGTTTCGCTCAATAAAGAGTATGTTTGCCTGCAACGCTGAGCCTTGGTCCTCATCTGTTCCCGACGATCGTGACAGAAGAACCCACCAAGACAGGACCAAGCAGCGTGAAGAGGAGAGAGGATGGACCTGGGATCAGTGGAGTAGGAGTCTCGACTGGGCCCAGCCAAGTGAAGAGCAGAGAGGCTGGTCTATGGAGCAATGGATTAAGAGTCTCGACTGGGCCAAGCCAAGTGAAGAGCAGAGTGGTTGGACTTTGGAGCAGTGGGGTGAGAGTCTGGCGAGAACTAGGGAGGCCTGGTCCACGGGGAGGAGAGACACCCAGAAATTTTTTAGGGTGGGGGCTCACGACGTGGACGTCGGGGCAGCAGGAGGCCGCGATAGAGCGGTCCAGCGGGTTGACAGAGGAGGCCGACAGGTTACGGGGGCCACTGGTGTTAAAGGGGAAGGAAAGTGTGGAGGCACGGCGAGAGGTACTGGGGTGTGTTACCAGTCCGGTCCGGCCCGTTCCTGATCCCTGCATAGGGCCAGTGGTGTGTGTCCCCAGTACGGTCCGGCCTGTCCCTGTTCCTCGCATCGATCCTGTGGTGCGCGTCGCCAGCCCGGCCCGTCCTGTTCCGGCTCCCCGCACCAAGTCTGTGGTGCGTTTCGTCAGCCCGGCTCGGCCCATTCCTGCTCCCCGCACCAAGTCTGTGGTGCGTTTCGTCAGCCCTGTCCGGCCCGTTCCTGCTCTCCGCACCAAGTCTGTGGTGCACGTCGCCAGCCCAGTCCGGCCCATTCCTGCTCCCCGCACCAAGTCTGTGGTGCGTTTCGTCAGCCCTGTCCGGCCCGCTCCTGCTCTCCACACCAAGCCAGGGGTGCGTATCGTCAGCCCGGTCCAGCCAGTTGCTACTCCACGCACCAAGCCAGGGGTGCGCATCGTCAGCCCGGTCCGGTCCATTCCTGCTCCACGCACCAAGCCAGGGGTGTGTATCGTCAGCCCGGTCCGGCCAGTTGCTACTCCATGCACCAAGGCAGGGGTGCGCATCGTCAGCCCGGTCCGGTCCGTTCCTGCTCCACGCACCAAGCCAGGGGTGCGTGTCGTCAGTCCGGCTCCGGCCAGCGGGGCCAGACCAGACCAGGGGTACTTTGGGGGGTTGGAGAGGGAGTGGGGATCGGGCCCAGAGCCGGATCCGCCGCCAAGGCGGAGTGCCCACCCGGTCCCTCCCCTGTGGTATTTAGTTGGCGCGGTCGGAGTCCGCGCCTTTAGGGGGGGGTACTGTCACGCCCTGGCTCTGGGGACACTGTTATGTTGAGCCAGGGTGTGTAGATCTATGTTCTCTATTTCTATGTTGGCCTGAGTGACTCCCAATCAGAGGCAAGGAGTGTCAGCTGTTTGCTGGTTGTCTCTGATTGGGAGCCATATTTAAACTGTCGGTTTTTCCTTTGTTTTTTGTGGGTTCTTGTTTCAAGTTGGTTGTGTTTGACCGTGTACTGTCACGTTACCGTCTTTGTTGTTTTGATCACGTTTCGCTCAATAAAGAGTATGTTTGCCTGCAACGCTGCGCCTTGGTCCTCATCTGTTCCCGACGATCGTGACAAATATACTATACCACTATACTACTGTATCATATACTATACCACTATACTACTGTATCATATACTATACCACTATACTACTGCATAATATACTATACCAATATACTACTGTATCATATACTATACCACTATACTACTGTATCATATACTATACCACTATACTACTGCATAATATACTATACCAATATACTACTGCATAATATACTATACCAATATACTACTGCATAATATACTATACCACTATGCTCCTGGTATGGTTAAAGTACCTCGTGTGGTTGTGGAACAGCCACTCCTTTCTGCACCAGTAGTTTGATGATCTCATAGTTGTTGGTGTGAGCTGCCAGAATGATGGGTGTGATGTCAGGAGTGAAGTCAGAGAACTGCTTGTCCAATAGGATCGGAGGAACCTGGAGAGAGGGCGGGGCAGAGGGAAAGCCAGGTAGGGATCAGTCAAACAATCCATCCACCAATCAACCAATCAATCAATCAACCAACTAACCAACCAATCAATAAATCAACTCATCAACCAATCATTCAACTAATCAATCAATCAATCATCAATCAATCAATTAACAAATCATTCAATCCATCCATATTAATAATGGTATTTTTTTTTACATCAACAGTAGTCACAAAGTGCTTTACAGTAACCTGGCCAAGAGCAAGCAGAATCAGAGTGGATTATGGGTATTCAGTGAGGAAGGGAGGGAGGGGGGGGGGTTCTACTAAGCTATCATATGGAATTGTTTTAAGATGGTCATACCATGGATCATTTGTCTATTTGATTTAGAATTTTAGGACCGCTGCAGGTATCCCAGAAAAATATTTAACAATTATTTGATAAAATATTGTATTTGGCCTTTACTGCTATAGCCCAGAGAAACACATTGAATAACACATTCATAAATGGCAAAACAGTCAATAAATACATCATAAAGGTTTTGAAGTGTCTGTCGTATATATCTAGGAGATTTAAGAAAGCACAGGAAATATACATGTACAGTTGAAGTCGGAAGTTTACATACATTTAGGTTGGAGTCATTAAAACACGTTTTTCAACCACTCCACAAATTTCTTGTTAACAAACTATAGTCTTGGCAAGTCGGTTAGGACATCTACTTTGTGCATGACACAAGTAATTTTTCCAACAATTGTTTACATACAGACTATTTCACTTATTATTCACTGTATCACAATTCCAGTGGGTCAGAAGTTGACTGTGCCTTTAAACAGCTTGGAAAGTTCCAGAAAATGATGTCATGGCTTTAGACGCTTCTGGTAGGCTAATTGACATCATTTGAGTCAATTGGAGGTGTATCTGTGGATGTATTTCAAGGCCTACCTTCAAACTCAGTGCCTCTTTGCTTGACATCATGGGAAAATCAAAAGAGATCAGCCAAGACCTCAGAAAAATAATTGTAGACCTCCACAAGTCTGGTTCATCCTTGGGAGCAATTTACAAATGCCTGAAGGTACCACGTTCATCTGTACAAACAATAGTACGCAAGTATAAACACCATGGGACCACGCAGCCGTCATACCACTCAGGAATGAGACGCGTTCTGTCTCCTAGAGATGAACGTATGTTGGTGCGAAAAGTGCAAATCAATCCCAGAACAACAGCAAAGGACCTTGTGAAGATCCTGGAGGAAACAGGTACAAAAGTATCTATATCCACAGTAAAACGAGTCCTATATCGACATAACCTGAAAGGCCGCTCAGCAAGGAAGAAGCCACTGCTCCAAAACCGCCATAAAAAAAAAGACAGACTACGGTTTGCAACTGCACATGGGGACAAAGATCGTACTTTTTGGAGAAATGTCCTCTGGTCTGATGAAACAAAAATAGAACTGTTTGGCCATAATGACCATCGTTGTTATGAGTGTGATAGAAGGAGTCAGGCGCAGGAGGGTGAATCACCGAATACAGAGTTTATTCCATCGTACACAATTGCGCTAGATAGCGACACACGAAAACAGGCACAGGGGAAATATCTACCCTGGCAATAACAACGTGCGAGTAGCTCCACCGAGCTAGGATTAAATGTCAGGAATTGTGAAAAACTGAGTTTAAATGTATTTGGCTGAGGTGTATGTAAACTTCCGACTTCAACTGTATATATATATACAGTACCAGTCAAAAGTTTGGACACACCTACTCATTCAAGGGTTTTTCTTTATTTTTACTTTTTCTTCATTGTAGAATAATAGTGAAGACATCAAAACTATGAAATAACACATATGGAATCATGTAGTAACCCAAAAAGTGTTAAACAAATCCAAATATATTTTATATTTGATATTCTTCAAATAGCCACCCTTTGCCTTGATGGCAGCTTTGCACACACTTGGCATTCTCTCAACCAGCTTCACCTGGAATGCTTTTCCAACAGTCTTGAATGAGTTCCCACATATGCTTGTTGACTGCTTTTCCTTCACTCTGCGGTCCAACTGATCTCAAACCATCTCAATTTGCTTGAGGTCGGGGGATTGTGGAGGCCAGGTCATCTGATGCAGCACTCCATCACTCTCCTTCTTGGTCAAATAGCCCTTACACAGCCTGGAGGTGTGTTGGATCATTGTCCTGTTGAAAAACAAATGATAGTCCCACTAAGCCCAAACTAGATGGGATGGCGTATCGCTGCATAATGCTGTGGTAGCCATGCTGGTTAAGTGTACCTTGAATTCTAAATAAATCACAGACAGTGTCACCAGCAAAGCACCCCCACACCATAACACCTCCTCCTCCATGCTTTACGGTGGGAACTACACATGCAGAGATCATCCATTCACCCACACCACGTCTCACAAAGACACGGCGGTTGGAACCAAAAATCTCAAATTTGGACTCCAGACCAAAGGATAAATTTCCACCAGTCTAATGTCCATTGCTCGTGTTTCTTGGCCCAAGCAGGTCTCTTCTTCTTATTGGTGTCCTTTAGTAGTGGTTTCTTTGCAGCAATTCGACCATGAAGGCCTGATTCACACAGTCCCCTCTGAACAGTTGATGTTGAGATTTGTCTCTTACTTGAACTCTGTGATGCATTTATTTGGGCTGAAATCTCTGAGGCTGGTAACTATAATGAACTTATCCTCTGCAGCAGAGGTAACTCTGGGTCTTCCATTCCTGTGGCAGTCCTCATGAGAGCCAGTTTCATCATAGCGCTTGATGGTTTTTGCGACATCACTTGAAGAAACTTTCAAAGATCTTGTAATTTTCCGTATTGACTGACCGTCATGTCTTAAAGTAATGATGGACTGTCATTTCTCTTTGTTTATTTGAGCTGTTCTAACTTGGTCTTTTACCAAATAGGGCTATCATCTTGTATACCCCCCCTACCTTCTCACAACACAACTGATTGGCTCAAACGCATTAAGGAAAGAAAGACATTTCACAAATTAACTTTTAAGAAGGCACACCTGTTAATTGAAATGCATTCCAGGTGACTACCTCATGAAGCTGGTTGAGAAAAACTCAAGAGTGTGCAAAGCTGTCATCAAGGCAAAGGTTGGCTATTTGATTTGTTGAAAACCTTTTTGGTTACTACATGATTCCATATGTGTAGTTTCATAGTTTTGATGTCTTCACTATTATTCTACAATGTAAAAATAAAGAAAAACCCTTGAATGAGTAGGTGTGTCCAAACTTTTGACTGGTAGTGTATATTGGACACATATTTAACCACTTTGTTGGCACAAAACTACTTCCATACTTCCATTAAATGTTTAAACTCGTACCGGTTACTTTCAGATGTAGAGCAAAACGGAGAACACCATCGTGTTCGTGAGAGTCTCCCCTTTCCATAGAGGGGTCATATTAGTTTGTAGCCCAAATAGTTCGGACACTACAGACAGAGGTTTGGCACATCGGCGGTACCGACTTCAGACGAGTCCCGTGGGGCTTGTGGGGGTCGTAGAGCAAAACGGAGAACATCCAATGTGTTCGTTATTCAAACGGTTCATACTCTACAGACGTTTTCGTGAGAAGACAGATTTTCGGGATGTCTCCTGGTCTGACAAACATTCCTGTAGCTCTGCCACATTCCACCACAGATGCGGAAGGACGACGTCGGCGGATGTGGTGGATTGAGACACAGCCCATAAAAAAAACCTCTCTCTTGCTTACTACACGGACAGACTTGAATTGGGATTATTTTATTATGTTAATTCAATTGATGTACATTTGAGTCAATAGACTATTTTCTAACCATAGACGTCAAATGGTTCTGGGATTGATTGCTCTGGCCTGCACAGCCCATTTATTTATTCCTTTTATTTTGTATTGGTTGCAATTGTGAACAATACTCAGCCCTGTGTTATAGAGATGAATAGAGAGCACTCAGCCCTGTGTTATAGAGATGAATAGAGAACACTCAGCCATGTGTTATAGAGATGAATAGAGAGCACTCAGCCCTGTGTTATAGAGATGAATAGAGAGCCCTCAGCCCTGTGTATATGAGATGAATAGAGAGCACTCAGGCCTGTGTTATAGAGATGAATAGAGAGCACTCAACCCTGTGTTATAGAGATTAATAGAGAGCGCTCAGCCCTGTGTTATAGAGATGAATAGAGAGCACTCAGCCCTGTGTTATAGAGATTAATCGAGAGCACTCAGCCCTGTGTATATGAGATGAATAGAGAGCACTCAGCCCTGTGTTATAGAGATTAATAGAGAGCACTCAGCCCTGTGTTATAGAGATGAATAGAGAGCACTCAGCCCTGTGTTATAGAGATGAATAGAGAGCACTCGGCCCTGTGTTATAGAGATGAATAGAGATCACACAGCCCTGTGTTATAGAGATGAATAGAGAGCACTCAGCCCTGTGTTATAGAGATGAACAGAGAGCACTCAGCCCTGTGTTATAGAGATGAATAGAGAGCACTCAGCCCTGTGTTATAGAGATGAATAGAGAACACTCAGCCATGTGTTATAGAGATGAATAGAGAGCACTCAGCCCTGTGTTATAGAGATGAATAGAGAGCCCTCAGCCCTGTGTTATAGAGATGAATAGAGAGCACTCAGCCCTGTGTTATAGAGATGAATAGAGAGCACTCAACCCTGTGTTATAGAGATTAATAGAGAGCGCTCAGCCCTGTGTTATAGAGATGAACAGAGAGCACTCAGCCCTGTGTTATAGAGATGAATAGAGAGCACTCAGCCCTGTGTTATAGAGATGAATAGAGAACACTCAGCCATGTGTTATAGAGATGAATAGAGAGCACTCAGCCCTGTGTTATAGAGATGAATAGAGAGCCCTCAGCCCTGTGTTATAGAGATGAATAGAGAGCCCTCAGTCCTGTGTTATAGAGATGAATAGAGAGCACTCAGCCCTGTGTTATAGAGATGAATAGAGAGCACTCAGCCCTGTGTTATAGAGATGAATAGAGAGCACTCAACCCTGTGTATA